TGGTGCTGTTCTAAAATCCAAAGAGAGAAATTTAAAATTTTAAAAAATAGGAAGAAATAAATAAGCATATAACAAGAAAAAGTTTGTGGAGCAGCTGTGTAAATAATACAATGTTAAAGAATAAAAGGAAACTGCTAAATCCACTTGGGATGAGGAAGGAGCCTAAAATCCCTTTATGCTCTAATGAGGTCTAGCTCATTGGTTGTGCCTTTTTCTTTTTTTCTGCCAGCGCCAGGTCTGCCTTAGAAAGGCACCGGAAGAAAGGAAGGAAAATGAGGTTATCCCAAAAAATAATCTACTACTATTTGGTAAAGGTACAGGAATAGAGAATGAAGCAATGTTTTAATACTGGGAGTGGAAGCTGCATGAAGTAATCACCTGAACATTTACTTCATTCATTAGTGCAAAGCAAATGCTGAGTTGTGCAGAAGTCAATGAAAAATTTCCATGGTTTTGCTGCAGGCTTTGCTGAATGGCGCCACTTGTCCACAGAAGTGCTCTGGACCTCAAGCTCAGAGCCTCAGTGGTGCAGCTGGAGCTCTGCTTGTGGAATCCAGCAAGGTGAGAAAGGCATCTCTAATGTCCTGGGAGCAGGGGACCTGTGGCTTTGCACCTAGAGGGTGAGTTCTGCACTCTGCATCTGAATTTTGTAACAGCTCTCAAGATCTTGAAGATAATCTAGGATTAGCAAAAAAAAAACCCCAAACCTGTAAATCGAGTAATGCACATGTTCTTGTTGCTTAGAAATTAGAAACCATGGTTTATTCTAAGTAGAAATGTGTTGCTTGGATATGTAAGGATGTAAGTGAAGTTTGTGAGACTTAACAAAGGGACAAGGTGCTAGGAATAAATTAGTTAATCCTAATGGTTGCTGCTTGGCCAGTGTAATTATGATTTTGCACATGAATGCAAGGCTTCAAAAAGGAGCTGGGAAGTCCCTCTGCCCAGGAGCTCCCCATTTCTCTGCAGACACCCAGTGCCATGAAGCATGTGGAGTCTGCCTGGTGCCTGCTCCATCTCCTGAGCAAGGGCCATGGGGAGAGGGCCGCCAAAACAAACTGTGCTCCAGCAGGACTGGGCTCTCTGTGCTTCTCAGGAAAGTCCAGCTGGCAGCAGTCAAAGCTGCCTTGTGGGGCTCTGGCATTTACCAGCTGTGCTGGGCACTGCCACAGGGCAGGAATTCAGGGATGGTCATGCTCTCTTTAACTCTTAGCTCAGACTCTTGACCCAGTGCCTGGGCCACCTTGGTGAGCTTGCAAAGCGTTTGCTGGTCCTTTCCAATGCTGCTCTCATGTGCTTGGTTCACTGGCATGAGGACTAACACTTGCTATTTTTGCAGGATTGACTGACTGCAAGCCCCACAAATTTCATCAGGGTTTTCTCTAGTTAATAGATGCCCTATTGCCATTACTACCACGTGCTGTTGCTGTATGAGGTCAGACAACTGCTATGTGGGATCTGGGGCTCCTTTCAGTTTCCATTGCCAAGTCTGAGTTCCTTTTTGACAAAGTTGATTTTTTTTACCTTAAATTTTAGATAGTACTTTATAAGTAGCTGTGTGACTTTATCACACAGGAAAATAAGTGCAAATTGAATTTAATTTCTGACTGAAATCTATCCACCTACCAATCCATCTATGATATTATTTTTCTATTTTTCTGTCTACCTCTTCACCTTTCTAAGTATGTGCATGTATCTATTCACTAGGGTAATGGTGGTCTTAGAATTTAATTACAACCTGAGGTATCTGGTGTTCTAACTTGCTGTCCCATCCTGCATCTATAAGACCTACAGATAGATAAAACACCTTAATGTAGTTTTTACCTGCTAATAGCAGTTCTATCATTGCAAGATCTGGCCAGACAAACACCTCATTTTCCCAAAGGTATGTACAGCAGGCAGAACTGAGGGAGACATTAACAAGTTTTCTGTGGAAGGAGGGTACATCTGTAAGAGTGAGGAGAGCCTTCACTGATGTGCCACTTGTAAATGCATATGAACTCTGTAATAGGTGTGATGCTTTTGTTCAACAGCTGCAATCTTTTCTTTGTACCTCTTTTTGTTGAATTCAGATAAACGAACTTCATTGTCAACAAATCTAATATCTGTTCTTGTCCCACTTGAAAGGGTCAAATGAAATTTCACACCAGGGAACAAAAAATCCTGACGCTCCCCAGCGAGTTTGGGTGGCAGCATGCCAAGAGAGAGGGGAGGAGGTGGTGGCTGGAGAGCAGTGATGCTCTCAGAGCATCAGCAGAGCAGTGATGTCAGTGAGGGTGAAAAGGGCTCCCCAGGCTGGCAGTCCCACAGCAGGAAAGGCGGCAGGGCTGGCAGGGCAGCCAGGCAGGAGCTGTGAAATCACTTCTCCCTGAGGTGCCAGGGCCAACTGTCCCCAGAGACTCCCATTCAGGAGATCAGGTGAGGAGGCTCTCTGGGGCTGCTGTCTCTGGTGGAGGTGTCCACAGGCAGGGATGCTCAGGCTGCAGTGGCAGCTCATGGCAGGGGAGGAAAAGCCTCTTGCTGACCTACAGTCATGTCAGTATTTCCAATGTTCCTGGCTCTGCAGAGAGGAAGGGAAGCTGGAGAGGAGAAGAAGCCCAAAATTCTCCTGAGTCTCTCCAGTCAAATATTACTCAGGATGCTGGTTGGATACTCTATGACTTGTTGAGAGAAGGACTCAAAAAAAAGCTTCCTTTTACAATAACAGCACTAAACCATTATAAAAATACACCTATATCTTCAGCAAAGCTGCAGCATATGTTTTTGAGTCAAAGACATTTGCACCAAATGCAGTCTAGAGATGTCTGGCAGCTGAAGCGGGGGGCAGGTGTATATTTAGCCCTTTCAAATGTGCACTTCAGTGCATGTAAATATTTGCTAGGCCAGAGCTTCAGTGTGCTAACGAGCCACAATGTCCATTTCCCAGGAGCCTGTGCTTTGCACATTCTCTCAAACCTCTGCACCATTAGTGCAACGTGTTTTCACTTGGCTTGTGCTAACCCCATCTCCTTGTATCACTGTAGAGGCAGCTCCACCTCTGCTGCAGTAACAGCTTTTCCTGACAGTGGCAGGTTGTAGGGACAGGGGGACAGTCCCAGTGCAGTCCTGGTATCTTCCAAGACCCAAAGCCTCAAACAAACACCTACAAAGAAGTCAAAGAAAAGATGTGATTAGAAATTAGAAATTTTCATCTTCCAAGTTAAAACTAATGGGCACTTATAAGTTCTTTGGATAACTTGTACAGACTATGGAATAAATAAGACCCAGAGAATTGCTACACTGTAAACTTGGGGAAAGCCCATGGCCTGTTCAGAGCAGGGGATGGCACAAAGTAGTGAAAGGACATGGAGTAACCCATCACCAACACCCTCTTCCCATATCAGCAAATGGACTCAGTTATGAGAATAAAAGGGACCTTGGCTGCAAATGACTTAGGGCAGCATAAATATGTATTATGAATTTTAGGCTCAGACATAATTAAATGCCATTTGTCAGATCTATGCTTGTTTTTCATCTCATTTGAGTTTTACAGAATGAATTAACTAACAAATGTGCCTCTGATTCTACCATAACAAATCATTTCTCAGAAAAGTTGCCTCCAAGCAGCAGTGAGAGAGTGACTGGGGGGAGTGACCTTCTGCTGTGAAGTTGTCACGTTCCAGCAGAGCCCTGAGTGGCAATGACAGCCTCAGTAATGGGGAGCCCATAGTGGCCTGGCAGTCTTGTTGATAACTTGTTAATTTATTTAGTGCAGTGGTGCAGAGGCGAAGATCTGGAGTAAAGGGTGGGGTGGGCTGAGCCTCAGGGCTGAAATATGTAAATATTCCAGTTTGGAGGAAAAAAAAAAAATAAATTTCTTGTTCATTGTCACTAAATGAGGTTGGTGACAGGAGCCACTGGTGAGCAAATAGGCTCATGTTTGTACCAAGGCAGCTTTCATTAAACACCTGATACAGCAAATGTATGGTCAGTGTGTGCACAGTGTGGGTAATAGAGCTCTAAGTGCTCCTCTTCTGGCCATGTGAAAGCATGATTATGGCACACCAAGGGACGTTGATCCTGAGCTGAGTCATAGGATGAGAAACAAAGGGTCTGTGTGCCTTTGACAGGCAAAAGGGAGACAGGGCTTAAGACCATGTGTGAAGAAATCCTTTCCTTGCAATTCAACTGTGTCTTGTAGAGCTATCTCACTGTGTTCCATCATATTAAACCAAAGCTCCTTCTTATACTTAGCAAATTACTATAGCAAATGGATGGATTTGCTAACCATGTCTTAAATTCTGTTCTGCAGTGTTAGTAACTGCTCAGGAATGGGTGATACACATCCTTTAAAGGATCTAATGTCTTCTCCAAGGGATGAGCTCCTGCAAGACCCAGATCCATTGGTAATGTCATAAAAGAGATACCCCAAAATCAAAACATTTATGTTGTTTGGAGAGTCCCACATGTTGTCCCTAGCAGGTGGCCTCTTGCAGCTGTACTATTCATGCTGTGTAGTTCATGCATTTATGAAAGTAGTTTGTCATATCAGGTTACTGAAAATATGCAACAAATGCTCTAAATTGAGCTGTAGGCAAACAGGTGAGTCAAACAAAGAAAGCTGATAAGAATTGTCCTGTGTACACCTCTGCAGAATTATCCTTAAAATATCTTAAAGAAGATGGGGTAGAGAGTATTTAACAAATAATGTGGTGTCTTTTGAAAAACAAATCCAGATGGTGGTGTTAGCATATCCAGTGACTTAACCATAATGCCATGTGTCTGCAGGAAAACAATAACCCCCACACAGCCCAAGCCTGCAAGCCTGAATTCATACACACTGAGGAGTTTCCTTATAAATATGAGGAGAGAAACAGCACCTGGTGGCCAGGTACCAACAGGAATATTGGTAGCAAGTGTTGGATCTCACCCATGAGCACAGCAGGCTGAGGAAAAGCACATTTCCCTTTTTCCCAGTGAGGGAAGAGGTGCACCAGGCTCCAGTGAGGGAAGAGGTGCACCAGGCTGTCTGCAGGCACCTGTCATCAGCTGTGTCCCCAGAGGTGTCCAGAGAGCTTGGGCAGCCTGCTCCCATCTTCTTCTTGCTCTTCCCAAGCCCTGAATGTGTTGCTGCAGCTGAGCTGTGTCCTCCAGCTTCTGCAGGGTCTGGAGTGCCCACAGGACATCTCTGCTCTTGGCCGCAGTGCATGAATGTGCACAAGGAATTTCCCCTGAACATTTATTATCCCTGGTACCACAGTCAACAGTTGGCTGGGTAACTGAGCAAATTTACTTGAACTCTTTATTTCCCAGGTCTTATTTTTCTAAGGAAGGCAATAAATCAATGACAGGAAAAGTACTCACCAGGCAGAAATTGGGTAGCTTCATGACTTAATCAGCACTGATTAATGCCGGTCGGGAATCTATCTCTGCATTTCTTTGGAATACATTTTGGAAAGTCTGGTAGTTCCTAGCAGAGTTTTGCATGAAAAATTAAATTACTTGCATATTCCTGTCTCTCCTTAACAACTAGGCTCCTCGAGGCTCGCACCCATCTTTCCCCGTAGGTCTGTCTGGGCGCTCCGCGGAGCAGCGCTCCCTCCGGAGCTGGAGGCAGATGGTCGCTAGGGAGCCCCGTGCCAGGTCTGGGTGACAGGAGCGGAAAGGCAGGGACAGCCACAGCCGGATGAGACACTTCTCTTCCTCCCTGGATGTCACAGGCTGGAAACGCCAGAGGTACGTCAGCCAGAGATGGGGCTGGGGGCCGGAGCTGCGTCAGAAGCAGCGCTTCTCCTGCGGGGGTGGATGAGGAGCCCTGGCTCCCCAGCAAGGTCAAGGCCAGCCAGCAAACAAGCCGGGCAAGAAACCCCCAGATGGATAAACAATCCAGACATCTGGTGAGATCCCGGCATTGCTGCAATCAGGGAGGTTTTGGCACCGGCTTTGACACTGCCAGGATTTCCCTTGTAATTAGCAGCGTGCAGCCTGTCTGGGGAGGATGTTCCCTCCGGAAAGCTGCTGGGACCAGGCTGCAAAGCGAGCTTAATCTCTGTGAAGCAAAGAATAACACCCAGTTAGTCCCTGGCTGCCCAAATATCAAAAAATTGCTAACTGGAACTCAATGAATATTAGATGCTACTGATAACCAACTGCTAATAACTAACTGGCTTGGTTGCTGCCCAGATTTCATAAGGGGCTCACAGTGGGGCCATGAGGATAGCAGTAGAACAGACTTGGAGCAGCCATGAGAAGGGATTCAGTATGGCAAAGGGAGCATAAACCTCAGAGCATGCAGAAGTGCCTGCATCCCCTTCACGGCATCAGAAAGTAAGGTGGGTACATATAAAACAGGCAAATTAAACTATAAATATATTATGATAAAAGGCTCAGTCTGGTAAGATTATCAACATAATAGATTTTTCAGTTTCTACACTGATCCAGGCACACAGACACATAAAATACCTCCACAATAGGGTTTTTCTTGGAAAAAAAAATAAATCTGTGTTGTTAAAGACCTTAGCTACCTGTATTTGAAGATCGTTGTCTGAAAAGATGAAAAACATACATTTTCATTTCATTTCAGATTAGCATGGTAAACAGCTAGATCTGTTCTTTCAAGTGGAGCATTCGGCTCCATTTGTTAGCTTTGTTGCTGATATTTCACCTCTCTTATTTACTTAACATAGTTTGACAAGAAATTCTCAGTGAGATAATATATCTACATGAAAGACAGGCTTGGGGAACAAGTCCAGGGGTTTCAGTGGGACAGAATCAATTATTTATGTCTTTGCCATTTTGGACTGTCTTCATTGCACAGAAAGCACTCGCAAGAACTAGCCAACCAGCTGCACATTTTTGGTAGATAGATACAATCTATTTTTAGGGAAAAGCAGAAAAAAAAAAGGGGACATCAGTAAATCAAGATTGCACCCACTTGTGAAAAATATCAAATCCCAAGTGATGGAAACTAACACCCTACAAAACAACACCCTCTCCCCAGCCAGGCAGGATGGCCCCTGCTGCAGGGAGCAACCAGTGCAAACAGAATTAGCAAATGTTCCTGTTGCTGTTTGCCACACAAAATTAGACAAACTGTACAGAAGTCAACTTTATTTTTCCCAAACAGCGCAGTAAAAAGGATCCTTACACAGCAACCAGCTGGTGCAAGGAGTTTCTGAGGCTGAAGCAAGGCAGGTGATGGAGGACACCTCCATTCTTCAATAAATATCAGAAAGGAAAATTGCTTACCCGTTCTGGATAGCTCAAAAACATAAACCAGAGCAGTGTCACATCCAGCCCATCCCAGCTCAGATCAGCAGGCAGACCCTGAAGAGACCCAAGGCACTGGAGTTCTGTTTCAGCACCCTGATGGGACCATGCCAAACATCAATCCAAAGGCAGGCAGCCGTGCTGTAGCCAAAGGCTGCAGGGACAGCAGAGAGGCTCCAGTTCCTGCAGCAGCATCACAGTAAGTGATGAGGGGAAGTTTCTACAGCCCATGAGCACTTTGTCAGTCAGAGGTCAATGAGAAAGGATAAAGAACACAAAAAAAAAAAAAGCATAAATAAAAAAATAAGTGGGGTAGAGGAATGAAAGGGAATGAGCAGTGAATTTAAAAAATAAAAAGAGAAACCAAAGCATGCTAAAAACTTACCCAAAGTAAAAGCCAGGCCTTCATGATGTGCCTGCAGAAACCTAGGTGAAATCTCCCCCTCACTTTGATGATGGAGGGTCAGGTCTTTAGGAAAAAGGGTGAGCCTGGACATAATGAAAAGAAATAATGTAGTGCAAACGAAGGAAAATAAGTGAGTGGTGCTGTACAAAAATAACGATTCTGTAGCTACTAGGCAATATTGTCATCTCTGCACACATCCAAGGACTTAAGTGACCCACTACTCTTGCTGAGGATCTGCTCCATTAATAATAAGAAAGAGCAATTTAAACTATGGCTTTTTTCATTGTGTTTTATACAGGTTTGGGGAATATGTTATCAAAGGCTCCAATTCTGGCCAAAGTCCACAGGAATCATCACCTGTGGTCAGGCCCTGGATAGAAAGATCAGAGCTATCTTTGCGTAGCCCTACCACCAAAAACAGATCAATCAGAAGTAACTCAAAAGGAAATAGTCTACAGGGAACAGATGAAGATGCATTTAGAGGAAATAATCCCCATTCAGGATGCCATTATTAAAAGAGAGAGATAACTATCAGAGCTAAGATATGTCAGGGCAACCTCGTTGACATGGGACTGGAGAACTTCTACTGTAAAAGCAGAGAAACTAGGTCAGTGCTTTTTGAAGAGAGGAAAGCTCAGGGTGGACATCATTATTTTATACACGATTCTAAGGGGAATAGCTAGGAGAGATGTCAGAAAACTAGTGTCAAATACAAGAACAAATGGACAGGCTCTAAGAAAGGGAAATGAAGAGAAACTAAAGGAGGCTCGAGCTCAAGGGATATAAACATTTCTGTACACACTAAGCAGTTGATGCAAGGACTGGGTTACAGAAAGGGCTGCTAAGAGCAACCAATAAGGGTTTGGAAAAGGAAAAGCTTTGTGGGGTACAGCCACCTGAGAGCAGACAAATCTGTCTCTTGATCTTGTCTGTCCCTAGAATTGCCCAAGTTTCAATCTCAAAATTACTACGAGGTTCACATACAGTAAATCTCTGTGCAAGCGCAATAGATTGAAGTGAGAATTCAGTTTATCACTCAAAGATAAAACTCAGAAGAGCGTTTGCCTTCTAATTCTATTAATATAAATGTAATTACAAGCGATAATTCCAATTCAAATGTTAACTTATAAGGACTGGTGGAGGTAGCAGCCTACAGAGAAAGAGATGATGCTGGAATCCCTGATTCTTATGTTTGATCAATAGTTCAGTACTAATAGACTTTATTTATTAATTGGAGCATGTGGTTTGAAAATGAGCCTAGTTTTTAGGTGGCATGCTCTAACAACTAGAATTTTTGCATGTTGCAGTTGTCTCTATGCAAGAAAAAAAGTCTCTCTGTAGGGTTGTAACAGATAAGAATTGCCTTTATTTAAAAAAATAAAAAAGGCAGAATGCTGACTGTGATGCAAGTGGCTTCCAGAACATGCTGCCTTAAACACAGATCAAAACAATACTCTTTGTTCTAAGTACCTGAGATGTAAACCAGTCACTAGGGGAAGGAAAAAACTAAACAAGTAGGCTGAGGTAATAGCTTGGGGCAAGGGGAATTGAAGACAGAGAAAAATCAGTGGACTGTACAGTCTAGAGCTCTTTTAGGGCATTTTCTTATATCCTCTAAAATTTAAAGGCAGAATTCATATGATCGAAATAAGCATGGCTTTACTGAAGCTGATGAAGCTGAGCTATGGATCTGTTTCCAAATATATATTCTACTACTGTTAAAGAAGAAAATAGGAAAAAAAGTAGCAGAAACACAGGAGACACAACAGTCCCATTGAATATGTGTCAGATTCTGAGTCCTGTAAAAAGTGTAATGCCAACCTTGTTCATTGGGAGTTTTCCATGTTTAGAATAACATGGTTTAGGATATGGTATAGGAGTGATTATGGTAGTACGAGGTTGACAGTTGGATTAGATGATCTTGAAGGTCTCTTCCAGCCTTGATGATTCTGTAATTCTGTAATTAATTTTTTCTGCTGTCTTACCTTGGCCTGAAAAATGTCACAAATCTTCCTGCTTTCCAGCCCAGTGGTTAAACAAGAGAGATTTTGAAGTGAAATATGAGTCAGAAAGGGTCTGAGTGTTCTATAGCCCTCTCTGCCTCCATTCTGTGCTGTGGCAGTAGAAATGTGCCTGCGCCTTCCAGGTCGTAAAAATCCCTGGCAATGGGATGCTCATAAAACTTTCAGAGTGTGCTCAGATCAATTGTGAACCACCAGGATGTGATACTGAGGTGAAGTGGCCCATTTCAACCACAGTTACAGCCACTGAGACATTGATGTTGACACAGAACCAAAAATTTGTCACCACGCTGGGGAAGAGCAGGGATCACAGAGTGAGTGATACTGATCAAAGCAGATGAGAGTCAGGAATGTTTATCCAGGAGATGCAAACTCAGACACATACCTCGGTGATCTGAAGCCGTCAGAGTTAATATGCTGTCTATTAACATTTGTTCAAATACAGCACCTGTCAGAGCACGTAGAGGAAAAGGCTTTTTTAGGTCAATCTGACACGTGAAGAGTGAGATGTTGTCAAGGGGAGCTAACCCTGGCTGGCTGGCAGTGGGTGCTGTGTTTTCTGTGCACCTTGTCTTCTCCTAGGCACCAAACCCCAGAGTTCAATGCTCTCGGTGGACTTTGGTTTTACTTCAGTATGACCATTTCTCACGCTCTTAATAACATTCAAATATCTGCTGTGCTAATGCACATGTCTTCTTGCACTGCTCTGTAAGGGGAATGCAATGCTTGTGGTTACGGGTTGTCTGCAGCACAGGTGAGGTTGGGAAAGCCAGAGAAATTTATTTTCCCTACAGGCAGAACTCTCCAGAGCTCACCACCCAGTTGCAGCCTCATGGATCAATGCTCTCGGGAGGGAAGTGCAGCATCCTGGCAGCCCAGCAGCCTCAAGCCCCTGCGCTGACCCTCTGCTGATGTTTGGGTATGTAACAGCCACCCCAGGAATACTTACAATAGGTTCTGTACTAAGAAGAAAATAGGGTGGCAAATAAGTTTTCAGCTCTCACTAGGTGTTTAAAATGGCACCCTGTTATCAAGCAGCTGGGCACTCCCTGGGAAGATCTTTCATATCTGTTTCATATACAGACTACCACAAAATGTTATTTGTATTATTGTGTGTCCCTAAGTCGTAGAAAAGCAGACAATTTATATTTTGGGCAGTCCCCAATGTCATTGTTATTGCCCATGCCACGGTTGCATATCTTCACCTGAACTTTGAAATCTCACTGCATATCAGGTAGTTTCAGAGCAAACCCGTGTTCTTAATGAGTAAATGAAGTTACTGTTACTTTAGTTTATTCTAAGTGTTGAACCCAGCATGGGATCTAACCTGGAACAGTCATCTCAAGAATATTGCAGTGGAAAGTAGAGCGTAGGATTTAACATTGGAAATTAGAAGTTGATCCTACTTCTTATACAAAATTGAGATTGACAAAATTGAGGTTTATCTACATAAACCTTTAAACAAAGATGTGGCTCTGAATCAAAATTAGGGAACTGGAGAAATGAAATTGAGGACTTTGTGCTCTTAAAGGAAACTTGCCCAGCAAGACTGTCAGCTGCGGAGAACTAAGCGCAGACATTAATGGAGTCAGGTCTTTTTCTGGAGGTCAATTTTTAATAAATCAAGATTGTTTAAAAATTATAATTATTGATTAATTAAATTTATACTTGGAGCTTAGCCCTCTTAGTTTTGAAGAGTCTGTACACCCAGTTGGTATGAATGATGAACTGAAAGAAAGGGAAAAAAAGTCATTATTTAATTAACTAGTATTCCAACTGGATTTAGTGCTAGCAGTAGATTTGGGTGTCTGTTCCCCACAAGTACAAATAAAAGGGTTTTGCAAGGCTCTCTCTGCAGTCAGATTTCAAAATCTGACTATAAAGAAACTGAAAAGGGGCAGATTTGGATTAGATATCAGGATGAATTTCTTTGCTGTGAGGGTGGTGAGGCACTAGTGCAGGCTGCCCCACTAGAGCAGCACCCAAGGCCAGGCTGGACAGGGCTTGGAGCTGCCTGGCACAGTGGAAAATGTCCCTGTCCATGTCAGGGTTTGGAGCAAGATGAGTTTAAGCTCCCTTCCAATGCAAACCATTCCATGATTCTATGAATAATATGTTCACCTCCAAAATGTGGTCCTCAAAGGACAGAGTAAGATTGTTTATAAGTGTATTATGAGTCCAAAAGTCCAACAGCAAAGTGTGCAAAGCTGAATTGCACAGCTGTACAAGCAATTTCTGGGCTTAGATGGAAGTAGCTGGAAGTAACCAGACAGGGCTAAAGCCTGAGAAAGAAACAGCACAAAAGCAGGAGAATCCATTTACCTAAACTGGAACCTGCAAGGTGGGAATGGGCAGGATTGGGCCCTCTGCAAGCAGAGGGGAACCAGATGAAGAGGGAAAAGGAGCAACACCCAAGGCAATGTTTGCCAAAGGCAGGGGGCTGGAGGTGAGTGAAATAAGGAATGAGGAGGCACCACGTTGGCATGAAGTGATACACTGTCACAGGCAGCTCCCAAGCTGATCCCACACTTAAAAATAGATTGACATCTATCCAGGAGATGAGTTTGTTATTCTGTAACTACAGCATTTTCTATTATGTTTGATAAGGGAAAGAAGATTGCATCTTGGTCAGAAATATAAAAATTCGTCTCCTAGCAGGGGATAATAGCAGGAGAACAGGGGCAGATGAGAGCTGCAGATTTAAAATAGTTCAGTGCAGTCCCTGGTAGGGGAGATAAGTTCAGTGCTGGGCTGAGATGTTATCCCATGCTCACAGCCAGGCCACCCCTGTGGTGTCCCACAGGCAGTGCCCTGCTCCCCTTCCCTCTAGATCTGCTCCTCTGGGGTCTCTATGGGCAATTCTTCTGGGAGTCAGCTTGATATTGCACAGAAAGACTCTAGGGGAACAAAGACAGGGCCAGTGTGCCAGCAGGGCCCTGATCCAGAGGAAGTTTTGGGGTGGAATTAGTGTAAAAGAGGGGTTGGCTGTCAAGGACAGGGGTGTGGGGGTGTCTATGTCTGTTGGGGGGCTGCAAGAAAGATGGAGAGACCTTTATTTACAAAAGCATGTAGTGACAGGACAAAGGGAAATGGCTTCAAAATGGCTTTTGATATTGGGAAAAAATTCTTCTGTGGGAGGGTGGTGAGGCCCTGGCACAGGGTGCCCAGAGAAGCTGTGGCTGCCCCATCCCTGGCAGTGTCCAAGGCCAGGTTGGACAGGGCTTGGAGCAGCCTGGGATGGTGGAAAGTGTCCTGGCCATGGCAGGGGATGGACCAAGATGGTCTTTCAAGGAACCTTCCAACCAAAGCCAGTCTGTGATTCTATGAGCATACCCCAGACAGAACGTGTGCACTGCCTGACTTCAGCAATTGCACGGTAGGTAGTGCAAAAACCTTAACTTTGCAAAAAATCCAAACCTCTTTTGTTTCAGTGTGTAACTGTTGATCTAAAATGGGAGTTCTTGTTTTCTAATTCAAAAAGCTTAAAAGATGGTTCATTTTATATTAAAATGATAGCCTTTGCAAGAGACCTTCAATCTAATTAAAGCCAGGAGATTAGCATCCCTTAGAATATTTGCAAAGCCTGCAATGCGAAGTTAATGAAATGTGTACACTTTTACAAAGCTTTAATTTTTAATGAAATAAGTCAGGACATGGACCTTGCTCCTCTGCCTTTCCTCCTTTGTCCAAAACAGGGGGTGTTTGTAAACAATGCAGAGTTCTGGACTGAAGAAGACAGAAGAGAGGATAATCTAAAGGCTTCTTGGTAGCTACTGCAAGCCTGTCTTTTGTCTCTTCTGTTCAGCCTGAGAATGTGAGTATTCCTGATTAATAGTAATGACTGAGAATATGATTTCAGAGTGGCAGTTATTTGTTAAGGCTAATATGTGTGTATATTTGTATATGTGTGTGTATGTATAAATATATATATAGCATATACTATATTCATATATAAATACGTGCATGTCTAATAAATTAGCTATACAACTGTGTAAAATCACAGTGACTGCTAAAGGGACCTTAGATAAAGAAAGTAAGGGAATATGTTTCAAGGGAATGTTTGCTATTTGAAGAAGTGGGCTGAGCTCAGAGGCATCAGAGCAGCCAGGGCTGGACCAGTCTGGTTCAGAGGGGATGACCAAAGGAAACCCTAAGCAATTCCAGCCTCTTTTCAGGTCAGGCTCTTCTAATGATGGCTCCACTCCTCTGTTATCGCTTGAGAAGGAAGAAAAGAGGAAAAAAGCTAAAGCACAGAGAAGAGCAAGCCCTGTTCAGAGTCAGGGTTGCTCTTGCAGTGTCAGGGGGCAGGGCATCCCCAGGGCCAAGCATACCCTGTCCTGGCTGATTTATAAACAGCCACACCATTAGAGCTATTTACTGCATCTGCTGCTTTCACCCTTTCCTTTGCTGCCTCTCAGTTTTGCCACAGGAAAGATCTGGCTGTTGCATTCAAAATAGTAATTCTTTTATAGAGCCACCCCCCTACTTTATATTATGCTTACTGGATCCTTCTGAAACCTAAATGTTAAAATATCCTAATCTTGCTCTACATTTAAAGCTGAAAGATAAACGTGTTGTTTAATGAAATCCACAACACTACAGGAATAGTAACCATTGTGTTTCTTCATTTCAAAGAAGGGCTGAAATCTAACATCTGGTGTAACTGTACAAACCTGACCTTAGGTCACAGTAAGTATTGTATTGTTGATGATGGATACGCTTTTTTCATTACCATGCTGTCTCCATTCTTTCAGCATCCATGCTGTGAATCTCCAGTTATAGCTGGGACTATTGATAAATACTGATTTTTAAAATACAATTCGCTTTTTTTTTTTTTTTTACACTTTTAAGCATGCATTGTACGGTATTTTCTTTTTAAATAGCTCTTCTAGTTTGTTGTCAACAATATGCTATTATTTGAGCAAACTTTTCTGCATGATAGCTCTAACACACAAGGATCAAGGATTATGTGTCTGAAGATGCTGCTATGATCCTGAAAGAGCAGTGTCACAAGAAGGTGATCCTCTGCCTCTAATGCCTTCCCCTGTACTTTCCTCTTTGGAAAATCGTTTCCTTAAAGCCCTTGCAGAACCAGGGTTTAAGGTTTAAATTGGGAAGCAGATGTGGACACCTGTGAATGTGTCTTTGCACATCATTGTTTCAAGGTTTCAGCCCATGTGCAGGAAATGAGGGCCTGCACTGTCCTGTGTGATTGATGCCCATTATTCCCCAGAGCTGGGGTAATTCACCCTGGGTCAGTGACTGCAGGAGCAGTGCTGGAACCAGTGCTCCCAACAAGCCCAGGGAAGTACCAGTCAAGAGAAGATGTTGCCCTCATAGCTGGGAGTTCTGGTCAGATCTTAAATACGTAAAACCCATCAATAGCTCCAATACTGAAATGGGAGAGTGAGGGCAAATTTAATGATGATTTCTATTTGTTTGCTTTGCTGTCTGTATTTACCCCCAGAACCTTTCCATTTTTTGCAGCTCTCCAAAAGCATCACAGGACTCTTAGCACGAAGCCTGAATTTTTTCACCCTAAAGCTGTGCAAACACAAACCTCTTTTCCAATCCTTTGGGCAGCAGATGCCCAGGCTCATTTAGACTGGACTCTTTTGGATGGAAATCCTGACTGGGATTTCTGGATGTACTGTCAGCAAAAGAGGACTGTGTCCTATCCTAATCCTGAGGTTGTAATGGACATGCTGTGTTCTTGCTGGGTGCTAATATTCCTTCATGATGTTACTGCATCATGCAGTGGAGGTAAAACAGAATATCCTTGGCTCATCCTCGTGCTTCCTGAAATCCTTACATTTTTACCAACCCAGCAGTAACCAGCATGGAAAACGTCTGAAAGCATGGCTTCTACACTTTTAAGAAACGTCCATTCACCTCAGCTCTGTCAAAGCTAAATACATTTATAGATTTGTTCGTAATTATTTTTAGAGTAGAATTCTGTTTGTTTGACAATATCTGAAAAATTAAATACCTGGGGCAACGTTGCTGAGTGCTGGTACATTGGAAACATGGGGAAATACTTGCTGTAATTGTGAAGGTTTTATTTAATGGCTCTGAAGGCAGAGTTAACTCATTCAGTGAGGACAGGTTGTTTTTGTTTGATCGGCTGGTGGTGCTGCCCTTGCTGTCACAACCTGCCAGCCCTGTCCTGTAGCACAGGGATGGTTCAGCCTGGAAAAATGATTCTGGGGACGCCTAATTTTGGCCTTCAGTACCTGGAGGGAGCTACAAGAAAGATGGAGAGAGACTATTTACCTTAGCCTGGAGTGACAGCACAAGGAGTAATGGCTTCAGACTTATGGACAGTAGGTTTAGATTAGATATTGGGAAGAAATGCTCCCCTCTGAGGTGGTGAGGCTCTGGCAGAGGTTACCCAGAGAAGCTATGGCTGCTCTACCTCTGGAAGTGTTGAAGGCCAAGTTGGACAGGGCTTGGAGCAGCCTGGGATAGTGGAAGGTGTCCTGGTGCCAGGTTTCTGTGCCACGAGGGTGCAGAAGCTCTGGACCTGCCTAGCTGTGAGCTGAAATGCATCTGCAGGACAATTAACAAATATTCTATACTCTTCCCACCCATTCTGCACTTTCCATGACCTCTTCCTTTCATCAGTAGAAGTAAATTGAATTCAGCACATTTAAAGACCCTGTCTGGATCCATAACATTCATAACCATGCTGTAACCATGAATGAAAAGCTGAGGGAGAGTATGGTTTGTATCCAAGGGCTCTTTTGCTTTTTATATGTTTACATATACCAGCCAATGGTCAGCAAATAAGCACCATGGCTGGTAATGAAATGTTCAAACCATCTGTTTTAATCTGCAATTTAATTTCACTATAAAATATTAAAGTTGTTCCGATGGTTGGGTTGGTAAGGCTGCTTTATATGAAAAGAATTGAGTATCCCAGCGCAATTACATTGCACCAAGCACATGCTGTGGATATTATATTCTGTATTGTTATTTTGTTCCATTAAAAGCATTTAAAAGCCTTCTTAACATGGTATGACAGAGTTTTAGGCCTCTCTTTTTTGTTAGAAACAAGTGGCAAATGATGAGGACAAGTGTAGGAAGAAGATACTGGCAAAAGAATATTCTTCATGGTCCTTCAAGAGGAATAGTAGAACCATCTTCCAAGAGAGGTCAATGCCCCAGGCTGGTCAGTGCCTCACAAACAGGCAAAGTTGTCATTAACAGGCTTTAATTTTTGGTCAGCACTGAAGTGGACTTGATGATCCTGGTAGGTCTCTTCCAGCTGGATTTCCTCTGTTCTATCCAAAATAAATGTCTGTGGAAATGCTGAACTGACAGAACCAGAAAGTGGTTTTGACATCGCAGCTTTTGGAATCTGTGGCATCTTTGGAAATCTTTGCTACGTTTTCCACTGGCACTGCTTTCTGTTGTGTGATTTTAGGGGACATTCCTTGAGGGGCTGGTGACAGCTGTGCTCTGGGTTGTGGCCCCTCAGGTCTTGAAAACATCCAGGTTCAGGGATTCCATGACACAGTTGGACAACCCACTCCAGTGATTAATGATTCTTACAGGGATTTTATTTTTCTTCTCTCTCCAGGTTGAACCTCTCTCATTCCAACCCCTCTGCCATGGGCAGGGACACTTTCCACGAGATCAGGCTGATCCAAGCCCCACCTGACCTGGCTTTGAGCACTTCCAGGATGGAGCAGCCACAGCTTCTCTGTGCCAAGTTCTCACCACCCTCACAGGTCAGAATTTCTTCCTAATTATTTCTACTTCTTCAGGGTCAGCTCAGTGTGGTGCTGGACAGCCACCTTTCTTTTTTTCATCTGGCATGAACATTTCTGCTCGTGTGGGCCTTGAAATACCCACATTTCCCACGTGACCTCAAAAATTCCCATCACTCTCAAGCAGCATCCCCTGCCACGGTCCCAGTTTGCCTTTCTTCTGGGATCTGCTTCTTAGAGGGATAGAGGGCAATCACAATGAGCTTGAGCTGGCATTGTTGTTGTACCCAAAATACAGAGCGTTTCTCCATGTGCTGTAACATCAGGGAACGGCGAGAGGGACAGGCACATTGTCCCTGGGCAGAAACTCCCTGTCTCAGAGGCAGGAAGCATTGCAGCCCTGTGAACATCATCCTTTAGCTAATCCAGAGCCCTGTAGGGAGCCAGGGCTCACTAACTCAGCACTGTGGCATCCTGACACAACTGTGTGGCTTCTGGAACCCAAGCCAGTATTTCTACCTGGCTCATCTGCTGTACTTCCTGATTCATCTGATAACCTGATATGTCTGATAACCTGATTTGTCTGATAAATCTGCCTGGCCAAGGCTTGCTTGGGGGTCCCCAGACAGGGCAGGGAGAGGCAGGGATTGCTCACACCAGCTGCCCCCACCCCTGGATGCTGCAGCAGTTGTTTTCCATTGCACCCACGGCCATGTGTCACCTGGTGTTATTTGGAGTGTATGCCACTTTCGATGCCTTTTTTCTGAGCATAAGCTGGAAATTACTGATTCTTACCTTACACAGCTAGTATAAAAGCACTAATGTCCTAATGAAGAGTCTCACTTAGCTAAATGCTTCATACAGCTGAGTAAAACAAAGAATTTTACTAGAGCTTAACCCAGTCGTTAATAAGCTTTTTAACCCTGACCTTTCAAATCAATGATCTACCACTGGTTTTACCTTTCAAGAAGGAATTCCATTTTCAAGTGATAAAACATATTTTGCACTCCTTACAATCTAATGATTATTCTCAGCGTTACTGGATATATGAGGCCATCAAACCATTAGAAGGTATAAAATGTATTAATGTACAGCATTCACGGCTACATTTGCTTTAGAGTCAATAAAAGGGAAACAATTTATAAAGGGCATTTATGCTCATTACGGAATATCGATAGATTGTTTCTCCCATCATTCCTGAAGTATGAAGGACTCCCTTCCATGATGGATAGGAGAGGATTTGCATAAGCTCTTTGCTTAAACTCCTGCAGCCCTGAGCTGTGTGCAGGGTCTGTGGCCAGGCTTTGGGCTGGAATGTGTGGGAGCACCCACAAATTCTTCCTGTCCAAGGATTGAGCATCTCAGTTTGGGAGGTTTTCACAGCACCCTTGTGAAGGTTCTGTAGAGAACCACAGCGTTTTCAGCACCAGGCAGGAATTGTCACAAGGCTGTGGGCAAATGGAATCTACGTTGAAAAAGAAACAAATTTGTTTGTGAAGCGAGTCAGGGCTGGAGCATACAAATGAAGGCAGAGCTTTGCTGAGCACCTTCATAAGCAGGGAGAGGGACTTTTTGACACATATGGGGGAAAAAAAAGGGAGAGGAATTGCATGGAGGGTGGAAGATGCTGTAGGAGCACTGTAGCTATAGCTAGAGGCAAAAATTTCATAGTCTATCCTAGTGAATAACAACTGCAGAAATATAATAACTATGAGGAGTCGAGTGATTAAGGCACTGGCCTGAGTCTCAGCAGACCTGGATTCGGTTCCTGGCTGTTTTCAGATTTCTGTCTGACTTTTGGCAAGCCTCTTCAACTCTCTGCGCCTTGGTTTCCCATCTGTTAAAGAGGAATAATAATATTTCCTTTCTTTCCTGTCTATTCCAGCAGCAATCTCTTCTGGGCAGGCACTGTCTCTCTCATGGCTTGTACAGGACTTTGCCCTTGGATTTTCATACCTACCCTAAAGCAGGAAATAGGGATGGGGAGCACCATGACATGGAAGCCCTCTTATTAGCAATTTCCTGTCACTGAGGATCTAAAAGGTGTGCTGCAACTTGTTAAATAGAGTCCTTAATATCAGTTCTTCCAGGACAAAAGAAAAAATTTCAATCAGTAAATTAGAGAAGGAAAGTGATTCACATACCTATCGAGATTTCTAAGTCTAAATGTATTTTCTGAAGTAGAAATATTCCAGTTCGAAAGAACAGAGAAAACGTTAGCCATGGCACAAAAGCAGAGTGCAGGCCTTCTCCATTTCTGATCTTGCTCCTCCAAGTCTAGCTGCTCTATATGGACTGACCTTTGTAGCATTTCTTGCTGACAAGACATTGTCTTGAGGCACACAGTGGCTTCCTGACATGCTCGTGCTCCTGCCCATGTGGGAGGTTGGATTGTGCCCTGTCAGAGGCACACACCCTGGAAGGGAAACTGGGTGATGCCAGTTGCAGAGCACTGGTTGAAGAGAACAACCAGTAAATATATAAAATTAAATCTCAGCTGCAGAGGCTTTCTGGTAATAAGCAGCCCCAATTAGAAATGCAAATGTCACTGAAAGGGAGCGTGTCTGTTGACAGTAGACTTTGAGGAAAGCTTTGGGTTTAGTGCTAGTAAATTAATCTTTAATTATGAACACACCTCACTTCTGAAAGAGGTGCCCTGCACTCACTGAACTGACAGCAAGTGAAAGTTTCAGGCTGCTGCTTTCTTCTGTCAAATGCAACATCTCACCCCAAAAGAGCAGAGGAGAACCTTGTTGTTGCCTGTGGACTGAGTGCTCTGTGATCTGGGGCTGGCCAGTGCCACTGACCCTCCAGACAACCAGGATTCACCAACCCACTAAAAACACTGGTCTTAAAACATTCTGTCTCACATGCTGTTGATAAATATAAATATCTAGATGAGGAATTGTCAAAGTTGGGGATAGAAAAACAGCCCTTGCTCCTGCAGTTCCCTCCTTCCCTGGCTGGGTTGCCTGCCCTCCATGCAGAGCACACTTTGCAGGCAGAGGGGGGACCACACCAAGCTGCAGCAAACCCTTCTCCATGGGTTGGAGCAGCCATGAGAATGTTCAACACCTCCACTCCTGGGCTGGCTGGATTATTAAAACAACATTTCCACTTCCAAGTAAGTAAATAAATCTCACTGGCAAGTTTGTTTTGTGTCAGCCAACATCTTATCTCCCTCAAAACTGGGCTGGTGTCCTGCAAAGCTGGAAACTGAATAGTCTAAAACCTGAGTGCAACAGCCAAGAGATACACCAGATCCATCTTCTGAGGTAGCAGATACAGTGAAGTAAGCAAATACATTCTAGAATCCTATTATGAAAGTTACAAAAATAATTCTGTTTCTTTAAGTTTGAAGTTATGAACCTTTGCTGTCATTTTCCCTGCAAGGTTTTGTTTTTTCAGCCTACAGCTAAAAAGAAAGCTTCACCCCAAGAGCTTCATTGCCCAAAAGAGGCTGTGCTGCAAACCCACCTCAAAAGGCCCAGAACACCTGGTTTCAGGCACAACAGGAAGATCAGAACATACCTTATCATAAATATGCATATGCGAGGCAGGAGCCCGCCACCTTCTTGGAGTGATGCCATAATTGACGGAACAAAGTACAACAAAACTTCACATCACTGGTGGATCAGAAGAACAGAGGTAACTGAAAGGCTAGAAAATTACAGGTTTACTGACATTCTGCTCAACCTTACCCATTCTTTATTGAAAAGAGATAATAACTATCTATAGGAGAGCTGTCTTAAGACTCCATTCATTCCCTTTCGCTAGCCCAGCTGAGAGGTGGTATAATATAAAGCACACCAGCATCTGGCATGTCATTTAATTACACCTTCAGCTTGCTGGGAAAATGTTGGAAGTGTCAAGGTAAGCAAACTATAAAAATATATTTTGCTTGCTACAGGAGAGCTGCTGAAATGGCAAGCAGAGGCCGGCTCCAGATATTGCTCTGAGTCTGTGTGAGAAAGGTGATGCAGAGGAGTCTAATTCATGAACAATTATCACCCTCTGATAAGACACCATCTGCTCCCGGCTGCCTGACTCCAATTCTCCAACAGACAGTTGGGAATTCCTCTCCAAATAAACCACTGGTGTAACAGGAAAACAGAACTGTCAGCTCCAGTGAGGTTGTGCCTCCTTGCATCAGCACCGAGTGTGTCTCACTCTTTCAACCAAGAAGGAAAAATAATACTGGGAAAGGCAGTAAAATGCCATCAACTACCACTGAAAGAGCCAGGTAGATCTTTGTTTAGCTCATTCACCTGATATGTTCTCTGCTCAACATTGAGAGGCTGTCAGAGATCACTTACAGTAAGGATGAAGGTGGACTAATATACCTGTACTAGTGGGCACTTTTTAACTGTGACTTTTGCCCTGAGTTGATTCAAGGGGCTCTTTTAAAGAGCACAAGCTGATCAGCAAATCAGTCAGGTGCTGTTTCCCTGCAGAATGCCAGTGCTATCTGCCAGTAGCCAAGGAGAAGCCCACAGCCCTGTGAAATGGCCAGCAGTGGAGGAGTTCCAGGTTCTTGCCATGTCTGTGTTTCTACTCCACTATGTTTGTAAGAGAAAAAAAATTAAATTTCTAATTTCAGACAGCAGAACTGAGATTGTGTTGTGGTTGGAGAATGACAGGAAGTTACATCCATCCCATGGTACTGAGAGCACTTGGCTGCATTTGGCTGAAGCTCTGTGAGCATCACTCCTGCAGCACCATCCTTCTCACCACGGCTGCTCCCAAGCCACTGCTCATTAAAAGGTCAGTTCTCATTGTCCCTCCTGTGAAATAAGGTTGGCCTCTCCATCAACACTTCCTCTAGGCCTTGATGCTGTGCACACCAGGGAGAGGAGCACTGAGGAGGGGGCTCAGCATCCTACCCCAGTCTGCACAGATAACCTCAGTTCTTGTTAAACCAAAGATGACCCCTGAGCCTCTGACCCCGGGGGCTGGCCTTGTTACAAGTAATTGAAGTGAATGAAATAAATCACAGGGTTTTTTTCTTTGTTTATTGGGTGGGGTGGGAGGAAAGGAGAAGAAAGTTCAGCACAGAAATTAGTCACCTTGTTTTGTTCTTACTAATGGAAATTTCTCAGAAACCAAAATAAAGAGTGTCATATAAAAACCCAAAGAGCACAAAATTAACTTGAACCCACATCCTAACTTTTAAACCCAGAGCATGAATGCAGGTGTCTGCAGCTGACCATGGTATTTTTTTCAGCTCATCTGAGGTATGAGTCACTTCCATCAAAAGAGGAGGATGCCTTGATCTGTGTGTGAGCGAGCTTTGGAACAGCAGCTGTTGGAGCAAATACAAACATCCATGTCAAGGATTGTGAGGATGGAGTTTATCTAATATGTAAAAAAACACCTGCTGCAAATGAAAAATTACACCCACAACCACCTGAATAAGATAAGCAAATGATGGGGGAAATGAAGAGACAGATTTATTATTAATGTAAGTTGGAACTTTTGAACCAAACATTTCTTTTGCAATGGAACAGTAGGATGCACAAGGAAATAGCACTCCTTGCCCCAGACCCGCTCAGCAGCATTTATTTTGCCTAAGTGATTTTCTTTTCTTTGCTAAGTCTGGTAGAGATGAAAACACTAACCCAAAGAAGATAATTAAAAGCTAAATGAAACCACATACAGCTGTGCTACTACATGGCTAATGAACATGCAAATATATACATATGACAAGGACATAATGTGGGCTGGCTGCCTTGAGTGGTTAGTGCAGATTTCCAAGAGCTGGAAATGCTATTGATTATAACTGAGCTAAGCTTCCTGACTCCAGACTTCAAAGATCAGCCTCAATATAATCATCAGGCAGCATATGGGAGCGTGGCTGCAAGGAGCTGATGAATAATGGCTCGGGGGCCTGAATGTTTGTACGTAGGGTGGGAGATGTCCTGGAGATGTCCTCTGGGCTGTGGGGTGCAGGCTCCTTGGCAGCCAGGACCAGCACCACAGAATCCTCCTCAGCATCTTGGCACACTCGGTCCTGCTGACAATTAGGGGTTTGGAGTTATGGGTTTTAGCTGGGATGTTTATTTTTCCTTTCCCACTTCTCTTGGCAAGAGGCTGATGTGTGGTGGAGACATTTTTGGGAGAACCAGGGAGGGAGGTAACAGATACAAGGCAAACCTTCTGGGGTCCTATAAAGAGAAGCAGCATATAAAGGCGGTCCTTTGAGGGTCTGCTGCCACATCCACATGAAAGAAGACAAGTCTGATTTTCCTTATCAGTTAAAAACCACCCAGCTGAAAGTAACTCCCCAGCCCAGTCAGAGATGAGACAAGGGAGTCAGGGCTCAGTCCTGCACCAAGTTCTCCCATGGGAGGGACCAGGTCCCACTGCCTTGCTGTGCCCCCTTCACTGGCACAGCGCCACTGAAATGTCCACTGGGGATGTCACAGAGAGAGAGCAAAACTCTCTCCTCCTCCATGATCACCACAGAAAGGCCACACAGCCCTGGGCATGGCCACAGGCAGGAGGGATGGAGCACAACCTTGGATGTGGGTGGAGATGATGGACACACCAGGATGGCTGAGAGAAAGGACACCTACCAAAAAAAAAATAAACCAAAGAAACCAAATTTGTGCAGAACACAATGGTTAGTGCATAAAAATTAATCAAGTACTACAATGACTTGCTTTATTCATAATACTTAATGGTCATGTAATAGGAGTTTTTATTCAGCAGTTAAAGTTCATAAGTGCAGGTTTTACATGTAGAAAGGTATTATGCTGATAGTTTAATTACACACCTTTCTGCACACCAAAGGAAATGGGTTATGCGGGTTTTATAATTAAAGACGGACTTCTGAGGGGAAATGAACTTTGCAGTTAGCAACATAATATTTGATTTTTATCAGATGTTTTTGTTTTGAATTCACCAGCACTTGGTGGTGTTGTAAACAGGTGAGAGTGCTCCAGACTGCATGAGGTGTCAGGAGAAGCTTTGAAAATGCAGCAGAAAGTAGCCATATTTAAAAATAGCCAGTGTGAGCATGAGGTATAAACATCATGTGTTTGGAAAGCTCTCCAGACTCTGCCCATGCTATTATGCACAGTGCAAGTCTGTCCAGTACGTCTAGGAAACAGGGGAAAAAACCCAACCCAACAAGTAAGTGAAAAATAAACCCCGGTGCTTGCCAAAATAATAAAAAACTTCACTTTTTATTTCTCTGATTTTTTGTTTTAAATTCATTTCATGGCCAGTGAATACAATTTTCCCCTCCTGCCTGCCTACAGAGGCAGCAAAGCCAAAAATGTGATGGATGTTTGTGTGTGCACGTTTGCTGTTGGAATACACAGGACTGACTGCTCTCAATATTAAAGGCAGAGAGTGGCATGAGCCAGCTCCTGCCATTCCCTAATAACCATGTGGGTGTCTGTACCCAACAAGGTAGGGCTGGGCAGGTCTGCAGTGCCTGGGATTCCCACTTTTTAAGTTTTAGCAGGTTTTATTTAGCATAACCTCATTCTTATATACATATCAAAGCACATTAAAAGGATATGTGGGAATATATATATATATATATATATATATATATATATATATATATATATATATTTATAGATATATTTTTATATATGTATATATTTATAAACTGCTAGGAGACATCAATTTATTTATAAACTACTAGGAGTAATCTATTTTTTAACACCGCAAATACACCTACAAGAATTTTTCTAAAGTCTAAAATATTTCAAACATCACCAACCGCTCCTCCCCTGGTGTGATATAAACTGACAGGCTCAGGCTTTTATTGTGCCCAGCACAAATGAACATTAACTAGTGGGTTGAACAAAAAAAAAAAAAAAAAAAAAAAAAAAAACCAACAAAACAAAACCAACAAAAAAACCCCAAAGCCAAAAGAAGAAAACAAAAGGCTTTCCAAAAACAATAAGCAAGGGCAAGGCCTGAAGTATTTTGAGCACGCCCTTTCCTTTCTGGCAGGACTGGGAGTGACTGCCCTGGATGTTATGGTTTGTTGGTGGGGTGCAGGTGATGGCAGACAGTGCTGCCTGACACAGGGCTCCCTTGGCTGGCAGCGGCTCCTCGGGCACTCTGGGCCTGCCCAGAACATCTGAAATCGGGCATTTCACAGCCAACTACAGAGCAATGATTTAAAAATCCTTCTAACGGGTGTGGACGCGCAACAAAAACAGGAATAGTTGTGTGAAGGGTGCATCCAAATATAACTGGACATTTTTTTGAATTTTGTTGGCTAACTGCATAAATTAATGACAATGAGAAAGAGCTGTAACTGTTTTTCTCTAATTAAATCCATACATTTTGGCTCTACTCATCATCGTTAACATACTGTTAAAAGTGCTGTTGCTATATCTTTCAACCCTCTGCCTGCAATCAAGCCCTCGCTGCACTGTGGTGGATTTCAAACAGTCACTTGTTTAAAAATAGAAAGTGTTTTTTTTTTTTTTTTTAAAAAAAAACAACTGACTGCCAGCTGAATGCAAACAGGTAAAAATTAACATAGGCAATTGTCAAGTGTCAGATTCAGCTCCTGAGCCACCAAGATTTACATTGCCTGGTGAGGGGCTCGCAGCACTTTAAGGCTGTATTGCCCACAGGCTGCAGTGGTGCAAATGAATATATATCCTTAATTTTTATTTAAGTTACAGTGTGCTTTCTGTGTGGGGTACCCATCATTTGCTCTTTGTAATCTCCAAATTTCAACAAAATATCCCATAATCCCAGCGGGTATTTACTTCATGGGGTAAATTCAGGGTCTACCACAAGGTTACAGAGATGCTTTCCATGATACTCATTCCTACCATTGGCATTCCACCATTGCAACAGAGGCTACTGCTCCACTTTTTTTTTCTTTTTTTTGAAGTCTAACAAGGGTAATCATAACAGGATTAACAGATTTTTTTAGCCCCCCCCCACCCTTATCATATCAAAGAGAGCATTAGACCAGAGTTATGATTAGATGTGTTTTTGCTGTATATGGAATTGTATTAAAATTAATGAGTGGCTCAGCCACATTTGCTATCCACTGTTCTGTTCTCTAAAGCCACTTCTCCCATGAAGGGCGGCCATGAGTGAAGGGAGAGCATCCAAATAAGTATTTTGTAAACATTTGAGAAAGAGAGATAAATAGCCACATGCAATCACACCATCTTACCTCAAATACCCACTCAAAAACGAAATAATTCCTTGCTGAACAAGCCAAGCCTGGCTCCCTAAACCGGGAGGAATTGCGATGCTGGTAAACTTGCAGAAATATTTTTACAATTTTATTAGAGGTTTTAATTCAGTGCTTTATCTACCTCTGTTAGTCTGCAAAATAGCTTTAAATATTCAAGTGGTAATTAATGAATCTTTTATGTTGCAAATCAAACATTTTCATCTGTGCTGTGGTACAGTGGCAGTGAGAAGGAGGGGTTTAAAGTGTAATTGTTTCTCCTGTTCCCCTCGCAGCGCTGAATGCCTTTTTACCCTTTATTATATCACTGGCTTTTGCTTCAGTTCATCAGCACTTTGCCACATCTTATCGGTCGATATTTGCTGTCTATTTTTTATTTATTTTTTTTTCAGTGCAAGATTTCTTACTGTGCCTTTGCCAGAGACATTCCTAAGGAGATGGAAACTCTCTGAATGTGGAATTTTCGCATGAGTGCAAAATAATAAAAAGCATGTGTGTATTAAAAAGGGATCAACTTAATGGGAAATGAGCATTGGGTTACATTAATATTCTATTACAGTAAAAATCATATTTAATAAATTTTCTCCAGATTTTTCAGGACCTTACTGTATTTTTCTAAGTCGGATGCCAATCCAAAGAAACAGTGTATATGATACATTTGATTTATGTTAAGTAAATAACTTGCACAGCCCATTTTTCAGTTTAAAAAAAAAATATTAAGTGTAGAAACACACACCAGACTGAAATGTGTGCTTAGTTTCCATCTGCTAGGAGGAATAGTGTTGGTCTTGTGCAGCAGAAAGCCTTTATAAACAGTATTCTATTTTATTGATGCTATATGTGGATTTTTATGTTATGTGGCAAGCGAAGGAGAATGAAAACACTGTAATTTATCCAAAACCATAAAATTATACTAGTACTAAAGTAATTACTTCACATATTAAAATACAGTTTCCTTTGCTTTCTTTTGTCATCACATAAAACGAGGCGTTGAGCGCGGAGGGGCCGGCGCTGCTCTTGCCTCCACAAAGGATTGACACATCCCGGATCAGACACTATATCACCCGACCCTTGTTGTTCTGTGACCCTAATTAATATTATACTCGCTGACATTTATGTATCAGAGCAATAAGCTAAACAGGAAACAATTTATGTCACCTAAAGCTTTTTAACAAATCGATGCAACTATTTGTAATTGCTTGTTTCACAAGATTAAAAGTACTCAGCCTTGATCTTCGCCCACAGTTTTGTGGCCAACATGACCTGTGCTTCCGTTGTAAAATAGGAGAGTTAGTGATCAGCACCTATTTCCATCAAGTAATCCATATTGCTAATATTTCTGGAATTTTAATGTAGTTACAATTTATAGCCGATCAAATGTGGTTACCTAAATTGCTGTTGCTAGTAGACAGTTTAACTGTCTTTATTAATTACAGTATAATTTAATGTTTGAGTACAGGCACTTGTGTTGGTCATTTTTACAGCCAAAGCAGTTATGTGCCTTATGACGAACCATTTTAGCATTTTCAATGGAAATTTGCTAATATGATGAGTGATAAAAATGTCAAACTCTGGTAAATAATGGTTATTGCTTTGGCTGGAATTAATCCTTGAAAGGACGGTTACCTTCAAATTAACATTATAACTTGAAGAAAAAAATGTTTTTCATGCTTCTGAGAGGCATAAAAAGTAGTCACTGGGCTCCTCTAAATAAACACAGACAAAATGGCACACAATGGGGTTTTTTTCCCCTTTTTCTTTAGGCTGACAAAGAAAATTCCTGTGGAAGAAAGGAGGAGGGACTGGTAAACACCCCAAGGTGATGTCGCTTGCTATTTGCAGCTCATGTGCTTTGAGGATCTCCAGCCAAGGTAGTAAAACAGGGCAGAAAGAAGGACCTTGCTATGCCCCAGCTCCAGGATTTGGGTAAAAAACCAGGTGTGGACACCATGGAGGCTGCAAACACACCTGAGGGCCAATCCCACCACCTGAGTCATCACTGCTGGGGAGAGTGGTGGCTCGTGGCTATGTGAGGATGAAGTGTTCAACGTGCCAGAATTAACCACCACTGCTACGAGGATGAAAGATAGCCCTGATTAACACACCATTAAATGAACGTTTAACATCATCATTGAAGACTGAGCCTGATTAATAGGTCAAGAAGGGCTAATTACACCTTGTTGTCAGGAAGGGTGTGTGTATGTGTGGCTGTGTGCAAGCGAGTGGCACCAGGAATTGCCAGTCCCTTAAATTAGACCAATAACGTGAAGTTTGTCAGACTCTGTGACCATGGCCCAAGTTAAATGTCACTGATGGGATCATCTGCCGGGAGCAGGTGGGTGTGCAAGGAGCACATCAGCTGCCATGTCCTCCTGGGCCTCCAGCTCCTGAGCTTTTCCCTCTGGGACAGGAGAAACCCAGAAAAACTACTCACAGGCTCCGGTTTTCTTTGGAAATTCCTCAGAGACGCATTGCCTCACCACTGCCCATAAAAGTGCTTCTCAGCTGTGGTGGAAAACAGCGTTTCTGCCTGGAAAAGGTATTTCCCAGCTGGCTGTTGCTGGTGGAGTAGGAAGGCATTGTGTGATGTTCCGTGATGGAGCAGCCAGGGAGGAGAAATGTGATTAATAACACAAAGATGATACAGAAGGTGGCCAAGAGCCAGATTCTCATCCGCTGCTCCAGGCAGCACTGGCTGGGAGAGGAGGGGAAAGGATGGTCCTGCTGCTCAACACAAGCTGCATGTGGCAGCATCTCTTAAGCCCAAGCCCACGGGCAGTCAGCAGATGACAAACAGGACATTTGGAACCCCAAATAATCTTTCTGAGGTGAGATGCCCAGGGAGGTGAGCAGCCAATTAATCTCTGATGGCTTTGCAGCCCCTGACCTGCCTGCTGGTGACCTGTGTGGGGACAGTGTCCCCCAGGAGAGGCTGAGGGCCCTGCTGGGGCTCATCCAGGGACACATCTCCTACCTGGAACTGAATCCCCCCATTTTACAGATGCACCCCACACCAAACAGCAGCTTCTGGCTCAATCCCCTCTGCCTGTGACTTTGGAAAATTTAATCCCACAAATCCTCTCCAGTTTGCTAAAATCTCACTGGTGATGGAAGTGCACCACACAACCAAGGCCAAATTTGTATTCTCTGTATTTTGATTATTAAAATCTACCAGTCCGTACCATTTAGGGACACACAATAATGAGTGTGCGAAGTTCACCTCCCCCTCCCCCCAAAAAATAGTTATCTGGTGTAATTTTATGATAGAATATTTTTATAAAATCATTTGTACTAATTTAAGCATTTATCATTATATGCAAAAAGATTTCTTGATGAGAATATTATAGACGGTGCATGTTTTTGACATTAGCATTTTATTTGGATGACTAATCTTGCAGATGTGAAATTTTAATGAATTATTCATGAAAAATCTCTCCTCTGAAATTTCAGTTTGCTGCTAATGCTAGTTATTAAACATTTTATTTTTCTTTACAAAACTTGATGAGGAAAATAAATGTGTGCTTACTCGAAAGAAAAAGAAGGTGGGTTTTTCCTTCAGCTTGTCTCAGGTGACGGTGCCAGTTGGGACTTTGCTCCTCACAGTTTTATGGCCCAAGGGGTTCATCCTGCAAACCCCTTTTGGCAGGGTGCAGTGCACATTCCCAGCCCCTCTTACCAAAGCTAACAGCATCATTCCCATCAGGGCACTGCACTGGGAAGGAGCTGCAGGATGAAGACCCCAACCCTTTCTTTTGAGAAAACAAATAACCCCCTGCGACCCCAGTGGGCAAAACTGAAGGACTTCCTTGGAAAAGAGGAATAATTCCTTGAATGACAGTGTCTTCCTTGCTTCCAGCACTCCAGCCTCACCCAGCTGCCCTGTACAGACTGTCATGAATCCACCACTAAAATATTTTGTACTTGGATGTGTCTGGGGACACTCAAGGCAAGAGATGAGGTTTGTCCATCCATGAATGAGCTAGGACATGGCTGAGGGACCACAGGATGTGACATCAGAGTCACTGTGAGGGGGAACAACAAAACAAGAACTTTGGACATGGCAACTTGCATTACCAGTGTGAACAACCAGCATTTTTATTGCATTTGAGAATGCTATAATGTCAGTAATTAGTACTGACTACACAACATTTTTTATTGTCTGTATCAACAGACATGGAATGATGGAATTACAGTTGATGTAAGGAATGAGTTTCTTTTATGCCTTATCAAAAAAAAAAAAAAAAAATCTTGTTACTGGCAGCACATACACACGAAGCACCATGCTAACAGTCTGGACTGTACCATTTTCATCAAGGCTTATGGGTAGAAGATACTTGGTTACCTGTTCTGGGCCCATTAAAATGCAGTCCTGAACTGCAAATTCACCTCGCAAGACTAGAATACTAAATGACTTCTGAAACATCTAAAAAATCACTCTGAGTTCATTAACCAAAGGTACCAAAGGATTTCAAAAGAGTTTAAACACATTTGGTTGGTTTTTTTTCCATGCTATAATGAACGTGAGATTATTGGTGATCTGAAAACTACAATAGTTCAAAATTATTTTAAAAAACTTTATATATATATATTTTATGTATGTATATATATAAAATATCTAATGATCTGCAATATTTGTAGAACCAGCATCCCTGCCCCGGTCTCTCCCCGAAGCTGAGCTCCAGGAAAGGGGAGGTGCAGGACCTGCTGTGGGACTCTTGCGAGTGAGAATCAAAAAAAGGTCATTTTTTTTTGTGGTCACTTGTTCTACATAAGCCTTGATTTTGTTTTTGTTTTTTTTTTTCTTTTTTTCATTTCACTTCTAGTTGAATGCAGAAACCTAACAGGTTTTACATTTACAAACTTTTTTTTTTTTTTGTGGACAAGGAAGGCTTTGACTCTCATTCCTGACAGCGATTTACCTGATACATGGTACTACTTTCATAATGTACGCTTTTCTTTGAGAAAAAAAACATGTAACAAATTGTCTTTACATCTTGGCACCTTGTAAAGTTTTTTTTTGTTTTTTTATACAAAAAGTTCAATAGTTTGACACTCCCCATTATTAATCACTACTTCACTGATAAACTTTGAAAGTGTGACCCTGGAATTCATCATGCAAAATATTTACTGCAGCAGGAGAAAAACATTTTTTTAAACAATTTTTTTTTCCTTTCAAATATATGAACTTTGTTTAAGACAGCCAGAAAAGGCAGTGGTAAGATAACAGAAGGGGTGGGAAAGTATCAAAAAAACCAGCTTAAACACAAAAACTGTACAAAAATGCTTCGATCAATGATAACAGGAGAAAAAAAAAATCTGTCAACTATGTTACAATTTAAAAGCTGAAAAAAAAAGTCAGGGATTTTCTCCCACATGTCAGCAAATGTCATCCAATATTCTTAAAGCAAGGATAACTAAATAAAATACATGTGCAGCGTATTCTGCAATTCCATTACATACAGTAGTTTTTTTTTTTCAAGGTTTTTTTTTAGTATAGTTAATATAAAGCAGTTGCACAAAAAGCAAAAGGTGTTTTGACAAACAGGTCTGCATTTATTCCTTTTGAGGAATGATATCTAAAAAAAGGACCTTTCCACCTTTTCCTCCCTCCCCACCCTCCCCCCAAAAGACAAAGGCTCACACAGACACAGTGGGATATATATGTACAACATAATAAACCCCTCCCTAAAGAAGCAACTGTATATCCAAAGGGATACAGAATCAGAATTGTAAAAATCATAGTGAAGTTTGCTTGATGTAAAGCCTGAGATTTTCAGTTGGTTCTTCTGCAAGGCTGCAACACCTGCCAGATATGTTAGACTCTAATTTTTTGTTTCTTTTTCTCTTTTTTTAATTTTTTTTATTTTTGCTACAGTCTTTAGACTAAGCATGCAAGACATACAACTAAGTGCAACTGAGTGAAATGTATTTTTTATTTACTCATTCCCTAACAGTTTGGACTGAGGTATGCGTACTAACAGTTTTCTCATGCTGTTATCTTTACTCATGTCTAGCTACACATGCTGAGAATGAACTAATCTACCAGATTTTTATCCCCCTTCTGAATACCGAACTAACCAGCAAACCACTCAGTTTTGAAGCACAGGGCTCAATTCTCATGATCCCTGTCTGGCTACCGCCGGCACGTCACGAAGCTGCCTGGATATAATTTAAACCAAAACTAAAAAAAAAAAAAAAAGAAAAAAAAAAAGAAAAAAATTTAAAGAAAATGTTTCCAAATGACCACAGACTGCCCTTTTTTTTTCTTTCTTTTTTTTTTTCCTTGTCTTTTTGAAACAGAAAGCAGAGTTTTATAAAAGTAACTGCCAATAAAGTTTTTTGTACCAAAGCTTATGAGTGGACAGGAGTGTTATTTCCTTATGAAAAATGCTGACCAAAAACTAAACAAAACTGAGTAAATGTGCCAAGATCAACCAAAATTAAAGCAGACATCCCAGCACAGTCCCGGAACAGAAGTGGCACACAATCTGTAGAACCAAAGACCAAAAATTTTTTTTTTCCTTTTTATTCTAGAAATACCATTATATCGTCCAGTTAAATTGTGGGAGCTTTTCTGTTCTCTTCTGTGTTTTATTAAACTGTCTCCTTTATCTGATACTCTAATTTTCCACGAAATAATTGTGTCTTTGCTTTCTTCAGCTCCCTTCTCATAGCTCCCCCAGTAACACTGATTCCTAGTTTTAACCTCAAAAGCTCTCCTCGGTTCCTCTTTACAGACTTTCATTTTGGTCACTGTAAAGAATTGCAAATAAAAAGTAACAACTTTGGTTCAGACATCTACTTGGCCTTCTAAATTTTCTAGAATAAAGGAGCAGTTTCCCTCTCAGGTTAGCAATAGCCCACATCTTGTCATTTCCCTCTAAATTCTTCAACCTCCTTTGATCAACAATAAGAGGATATTTGGCTTCATAAGATAAAGCATATAACAGAGAACATAATTTACCTTTGTGTAATATCTTTGGTAATTTTAGGAAAAAAAAAAGGTACAAAGAAGAATATAAATTAAGCTCTGAAAGGCTTTTCGAAATAATAAAAAAAAGCTACAGTCCTACATAAATAAATGAGTGACGGAAAAGTGGTTGCAGAATGAAAATGTTTAGGTGTTTGGTGACTGAGGTTTACTGACCTATGGCAACAGATTTTGTATGTCGTGTTTGCTTTGCAGAGCTTTGCCAGTTTTGCCTAACAAGCCCCGGCGCCAATTCTCTCCCAACTCTCCCGACTCCTCCAGCGAGGTTTCCATACTGGCTGGTGTAATATTGCATAACAATCCTAACTGCAGTACTGGATTTGCACAGCTGAAAATTAACACTTTAGCATTAGTGGGGCCCCGTCCTTATTAACTCCCGTAACAAGTTCAATCTGAAATCTAATTTGTATTCAAACAGATTAACGCCACCGAGCAATCCTGAACTGATGTTTAACCGTGAAACATCACCATGTACAGTAACAATTTAATGAAGTCATCTTTCCAACCACTATTTGCAAATGCAAATGTAAAAAAACAATAGAAAAAAATAAAGTTGTAATAATAAATGTTTAGGTGCCCATCTCGGTAATCTTAGATATTCCAGAAAGATGTGTTGACCCATTAGAACTCGTGTTAAACAACCGAGAACCTGCCACTGTACTATTCATTCTCTACTAAAAGTGAACTCTGTTGGTGCTGCATATGTTTCTTTGTGCTGTTCAATATTGTGGCATTTGCTAATATTCACTGTTGCTGCCAAAAAAAAAAATCAAAAAAATCAAAAAACCTAAACAAAACAAGAATATATTAAAAATACTGCTTTGTGGAATGAATCTGTGTTGCTTCCTACAGTGTTTCTATGTTCATCTGTCATTCATTCTCATTCTTGCAGTACTTCGTTCCTCTCTCTCTGTTGGACAACCCTTCCACATGTATCGTGCAGCATTTGGGACCTTTTCAAAAAACAACAACAACAAAGAAGGAGACACCGAAATGGAATGTTTTCCATAGCTAAAGAAAACATGGTGGCATCTGAAGGAAACTGGAATGAATGACAGAAAAAACTACAAACAATTCAATGACATTCAGCTTCGTATAATAAAAACACCTATTAACATTCATCACAAAGTACAGAAAACGTTGAAGCCTCTGAGAGGCCCTGGGCCCAGATGAGGCCTGAGGTCAGAACTTAAAATGGTAGAGGAGAAGTGGGGCGGGGGAATAAAAGCAATACATTAAAGAGTTTGGGATAATTTTTTCTTTGAACCCCTCCCCAATATACACGCTCACACGCACGCACACATACCCACACACGTGCACACACAGGCCTTCCCCATCCCAAATGGAAGCAAAAAAAAAAAAAACAAACAAAAAAAAAAG